AGTTTTCCTCCCCTCCTAAGAAAAAGTAATTAAACATGTGATAGAAATGAGTCATGTGATTGTTTTGGGGAAAAAATGTATAAGGAATAAAATTCAATTTTTATGTGTTTTATTATATAGATGTTAATTGTGTTACCATTCAAACAAGTCCTTCAAAATTATCATGATTTTAAAATTGCTAGACTTAAAATAGATTTTCTCTACTCCACATCGGAAGAATAGTCATCATATTCTTGAATTGAGATCATATATTTTTTTATACTATATCTAAACAGGTTGAGCATGCCATTTTTGGATAAAAAACTATTAGGTCATGTTCGTGTCGTTAACAGATTATTATCGGGTTAGTGTCGATACAATTAAATAAACGGGTTGATTGTGTCAATTTTAAGTTTAGTAGGTTGAATCGGAACACGATCCATTTTTATTTCATATTAACTTGTTGGATCATTTTTGAGTTCATGCCGAATTCAAGTCGTTTTGAGTAGAAAATTGTCACCCAAGCAAAAGGCTTCTTGGATCTTTGATAAGTAAATATTTAAAAATTCAGGGGTAAATATGTAAAGTGACAATTTTTGTGAATACCGTCTTTGACAAAGACTGACAGAAGATATCTAACTCTCGAGAGTATGGAAGATTTGGAAATTAGTTTAACAAATAAGTTGGCAAACTAAAAAGAAAGAACTCGTTTGGTTTGTGTTTTAAAAATTAGTATTCAAAAATAATTTTTGAGAAAAATTTTAAGAAAATAGTTTTGTTATTTTTTGAGATAAAAAAATTGTTTGGTTAGATAATTTCAAAAATAATTTTACAGTACAGAAAATAGTAAAACTTGTTTGGACAACTTAAATATATGTTTGAACAGTAATTCAAACATTAATAAAAAAATATAAGAAAGTTATTTATAGATTGATAATCTCATAAAAAAATTCAATAAATCAAATTTTAAAATATAATATATATTATAACATATATATATAAGAGTCATAACTCGTGCCTGAAGGCACGATAAAATATAAACTTTGAGCGTTCAAAAAATTGATCTCACTATATTAAATTTTTTCAAAATATATTAACTAAAAATTAATCTAATATTAAATAATTAAATATATAATAAAAATGTGTGATGTGATATTTTTAGGGAGGAAATATATAAATAATTAAATATGTGATAGATATGAATGATGCAATTTGACGTTTGAGTCTGACAAATGGATGATAGGTGAGGTAAGTGATTTGTGATGGTTTTGAGGGGAAAAATATGACTGGGATAAAATTCAAACACACTTCTGTTTTATTATATAGATATTATAATATATATATATATATATATATATATATATATATATATATTATAATATATTATATATATAATATATATATAATATATTATATATAATATTCAATAAACCAAAACCAATATATATAATATAATAATATATATTATTATATAATATTTATATATTATATTATAATATATATTATATATTATGAGAGAGAGGAAGAAGTAAAAAAAAAAAAGGAATATAGAAATTTGCTGCTAATGAGACTCGAAGGGCAGACCTCATTAAAGTTTAAAATTGTTCTCCTTGTTTTCAAAATTTTCAAAAAAAACTCTGAAAACAAGTTAGACTTATTTTTTATTTCTTTGACTCAAATCTCAATTTTTCTCAAAATTTTCAGAACAAAAATGCTAAATAAACAGATTTTTGGTGTTTTTAAAATTTTGAAATCAAAAAACAATTTTCGGAAAGCTAACCAAACATGACCTTAAGTTTTTTTTGTTTCCCCATAAAGTGGAAAGTTATGAAAGCTAACAGTCCAAACTAGGCCTGGTCTGTAGATTGAGTTCAAATTATCATAAGGCAGGTCATACTTAATTTATGGTTTCAGTCTAATTCAAACCTCAAGAGTTCAAAAGGAGTCAACGCACGTGAGAGTGCAATTATTGGGATAGTTATTACTCCAGAATAGTACTTGATGATGTGTTTAGCACGATAAACCAGAGATGGTAGATTTATGGGTCACTAAGTAACTCAGTCTGAGCTCCAAGACTCTTAAGATCTGGACCAGAAAAATAAGATTAACACATAGAGAATTTATAGTGGTTCACTAGTTCAGAAATTCGGCTAATCCACTATATTGTCCACTGCCTAATCAAATTTATACCCATGTTTATTTAACTCAGGGGTACAAATGACATTTGCCTCTGTAATCCATGTATGGCTTAACCGGAACCTATGAAACACGGATACGGATACGAGATACGGGTATGATATGATACGGATACGGCGATACGACAAAGTCTAAAAAAGTAGGATATGTGTACGGCCAAGATACGACCATAAAAAAATATATTTAATATTTTTATTATTTTCAACCAACTTAATATTTATATATTTTGATAGTTTTTTAACATATGATAAAGAAAATTAGTAATTTTTTTTAGTTTTAAGAAAATATATATTGTGTCGTTGTGGTATATTTACAAAGTGAAGTGACTAATTAAAAAAATCAAAGCTAATATTTACCTAGTATTTAGAAGTAATTTTTGCTAAGATTATAATGTAATAATTTTATTTTATACTTTTTTGACATGTAATTGTAGATAATACTTAAAAAACACTCATGTGTCTTTGAAGTAATATAATTTTTTTGTTAATATATTATATGGTATGTGAATTCGAAAAGAAATGTTAAAAGTTCAACAAAAAATTTATATATGTTGCTTGACTACAAAAGTATCCGTGAAGTATCATAATATTTAATTATTATCGGATACGTAGAAGATGTATTCGATACGTATCCTCGAGTATCCGACGAATATCGTATCTGATACGATATTTGATACGAGTACGTCAACCTCAATGAAATATCCGTGTTTCATATACCGGAACCCACCCCCCATGGGTTTGATGAAACCCACATTTAAGGGTTTAAGATGTCGGGTCAGCTCCGAACCGGGACTGTTGTCCATACCTTCTAAAAGCCATCCAAGGGTTTTAGGAGTCCATTAGATTACTTTTCCTAAACTCATCTTTGTCAAACTCTCATGCCCACTTACCAAATAGTCTCCTAATACTTCCTATCTTAGTATAAATTCCTTTCCGAAAAATAAAAACAAGTAAACTTGAATTGCAAAGAGTAATGATTAGCCTCCCAGCCCAGGGTTGATGTTTTTTCGGTCCAAAGCTGCATTTTACCCAAAAATCTATCGACCAGAAGTTTACAGTCCCCTTCAGTTTTACAATAATTAGGAGCAATACTATAGATTTTGCCATTTCAGATTCATATATTACCCAATTTTAACACAACTCAGATTATTTAATTTTATCATATAAAACAAAAACAAATTTAACCTTTTTTACATACAAGTCAAAGTCGAGTTAGATTCGTATAAATTGTGAACATGTGAACTAAAAACCTTACAATCTCCTCTTTTTCCTTTTTTCTTTAAAAACCTAAACCCACAAACTACACGCCTAATTAATTAAAAATTAAATCAATCCACCAGATCACGAAATAAGGAAAAAAAATCTTAATTAATATATTAGATTAATTGAAATCTAGATGAAGAGACAAATTCTGAAGAAACTTCATTTACTTATTATCTTATGAACGAATCATGTTATTTTTCAATTCATGTCTAGAAAATTGCCAACTCCCATGTACTAATTTTATCTCCTAATTTCATAGTAGTAGGGGTGCTCAAATTTTTGATTACCCACAAATTTCTATCATATTTTACTCTATCTGACTCTATTGATTGGCTATTCGAAAGAATCGAGTAAGTCAACAAAAGATTTTTTGATATTATGCAAAAAATCGGATAGGAATGCGAAATACTTAAAAAGAATTTGTATTCCTACCATACCCTACCTACCCGCATATATATATATATATATATATATATATATATATATATATATTAATTCTTAAAAATTAAAATTCAAAAATCTAAAAACTCTAATGTTTTATTGATGTTTATGACTTTCTTATATATAATGTATTGATATTGATGGTTTTCTTGTTGTGTTTTATTATAATTATTTATGTATTATCAAATTTATTGTGTTTTTTTAGTGTTATTGGTTTATTGTGTTAGTTAATTGATGTAAGTTACTTAAAAATGATCCAAAAATTAATAACTAAAAAATATGTATTCACCTGATTTGCTACCCGACTTTTTACTCTATTGTTTTGAACAAAATTCGAATAAAAATAGTACATTTGATCAGATAGGATAGGACAAGAAAAAATCGTTCCACAAAGTTTCAGGTAGAAAAATGGAATATCATAACTCCTACCCATAATATAAAGTGAACACCCCTACATATTAGATTTAGGTCCCATTAAATTTCCAACCTCATCTGAGTACATGGTGAGGAAGTGAATTAAAGGTATACTTCTGAAATTCCGTCAACTTGGTCCAAATTGTTTTGGACATAGAGGCCAAGTATATTGAAAAAATTATAATTTAAGTAATAAAGTAGATGATTGTAGACTGAAAAACCCCTCCAGGCAGGGGTGAAATTCCTTCCATAACGGGAAAGTCTTGCATACACACACACACCCCCGTGGCCACGAGGCCTCCCTCCAAACCCAACCCTAGCATTCAAATTTCTGTAATCAGGAATTTCTATAAGCATCTAGTTATCCCAACTATGATATCAATAGTTATTTTGATTCTAAACACCCGCGAGTACACATAGGTTAACTCAACTCAACAAAGCTTTGATCCCAACTATCTAGGATAGGGTACGCTCCTGATTACACATAGTTAGACCAGTCAAATAGCAACGACTCAAAATGCTAGCTAGACAGTGAATTTTAACAAGGAGAGTAACACGTGTAGAGATATCAATGTTGTTTGTCATCTATATTCTCATCTTATTTTAACAAGCATGGTAATCACCACACGAACAGTTATGTTTTCAACTTTTGTGTACATATAACTAGAATCGTAACATTTTTATTGAGGCATGAGCATTTGGCTAGAATTAACAACCTCCACTTGCAGGCTCAATCGAGCTTAGAAGACCATTGCCTCTCAGCAGGATGCAGTGATCCTCTGCATCTACTTGAGCACAGATAATCACCACTGACATGCCATTGTAATGTGCCTCTTGCATGATATTCACAGCATTGTCAAGGGTCATACCAGGTATAACCTTCATTAGCACTTGCACGACATACTCCCTTTGGTTGTAGTTGTCATTGCGTAGCAACACACGATAAGGTGGGGACATTTTCCTTGATTTCCTGAAAACCAAAGCAGTAACTGTGGTTGAAACTAGTCAAAGGGAAGACAAAGATGGGCATTTTGATATTTCACCTGTGTTAAGTGTAAAGCAATGGTGCAAAGTCATTCGAGTCAGCAAGGAAACATACATTGAAGGGGAAACAACAAAGATCCACTGTGTCAAAACCCTCATCAGAAATGAAATCTAGCAGAGATTTATTGACGATACAATAGGAACAAAATAATACAGTCAAATCCAGCTTAATTGTTGGTCCTGAAGAGTGGATATACAACAGAAAGTGTAAATTCTATGCTTGTACATGGAATGTATTAATTATGATAAAGATTACTTTTTCAATCCACATTAGCATTTGATAGCTGAATCTCGCACATATTGATTTCTCTCAATGAAAATGGCTAGATAAACCAAGTTATGCCCTTGAAATTGCACATGCACAAGCCCAGAAGGCTGCTTGCACAGTTATCTAAGCAGTCTCTTGTGTAGAGTGCATATATTACGCAGAACATTAAACAAATGAGGACATAAAACCTGCTTGGTCTGCAAGGTGGCACTAATTAGATTGAACTAGTCTGCCATGGCCTGTCCCATTAAATCGACTTGCACCCTTGCATCTCGGGGAACTCCATAACAGAGACATTCAGTTCACTAGGATAACATTCTCATCCCCCACTAAGGTCTGTAGCAAAGGCAAAAGCATCTAGCAGATGCAGAGCCAGGGCACTATGCTCATGCAACTGCATCAAAGCAAGTGAGATGCGGACAAAACAGACGCTTCTTTGCCTACATTCGTACATCAGATTGATGGATTGACTGCACATGCTACCATTTGTCAACTCAAACTCCTTACAAATGGTCAATAACAGTCCAATCACATTGCCAGTTTCTGGTGCGACATGGTCAGTGACAATATTTGCATGTCAAGAAGTGGTCTCGAGAAATCAAAAAGAGCAGATGTGGCATATTTCAGCAAAAATCAACTTCATGTTTATGGTCAAAGTTTGTTTTACTTCCCAACCAGGCACAAATAACATAAACAAGGCAAAGGAAACCAAATATAATTTTGAATGAGTAATTGAGTGTAATCAGCTCGTCACACCTATAAAACCAAAATATCCAACTACTTGGGGTCAGTACACGATTCAAACCTTTTATTGTGCAGCGGAGATGCTGTGAAATGAACCAAGCTAATTGAGAGCGAGTCATGGGTAAAAGTTCACTCGAGATGAACTCCACAAACGAGAGACAAGTTTGAGAATATGTTAAAGCTCATAAATTATTGAGCTCAGCTCAAGTTTAACTCCATAAGCCAGTATTAAAAACCAAGCTACTGCGAATTGGCTCGGTTGGAAGCTCACTCAAGATCCTTAAGCTGGATTTGTAGCCTATTAAAGTTTTGGAACCAAGTTTGATCAACACCTAATTGTCTTGATTTGGCTCATTTCAACACCTAGGCCCCAAGAAGATGATATTTTTGCATTCAATAATAAAGGAAGAGAATATTAAATTCAATGTAGCCTAAGACTAATTAAAACTTCAAACATTTCTCTTTTATTTCCATTAACTCTATAATTAATAGTACCAAAGCATAATTTCATTAGACTTGCAATTCAAAAACCACAAGATTCAATACATTAAATCTAAGAATTTCCACACACACACATATATATATAGAGAGAGAGTGCCTGAAGGTTAGGGTGGAGGACATGATTAGGGGAAGGGTAATGATATGCTTATCAAATTTTCTTACCAAATCTCCATCTCAAATCTCCATCCCATATGATCTCTCTATGATTGTTTGAGTTTTGTGGATGGTAAATATCAGCAGATCGTGCCTTTGGTAACAATAGTCCATTCCAACAGCAATATACTTCAAGTCCACAGTGTTTGTCATATAACTCTGACCACTTTAGTGTGGGTTTGATATAAGCATACAAAGCGAGTAGTAGAATGCATAACCAACAATTACATAGCCAACATGTTCTAATTGGTTATAAGTGTTGATAGTCTGATTTTGGAACTCATAGTTTTGGCCATACTATGTTACACCACCAGAATCGGTATACAATCCAATAGAAGAAACTATGTTCGACGCTGTTGGTCGGTCGGTCAGTCGAGCGTTGATGTTGGCTGGTTGAAGATGAACTATGTTATTCATTGCGTGATATAGAACCTTCATTGATTTGGCTAGATTGCGTAAATTTGATGTGCGCCTAAACATTTTTTTCTATGTTTTTCACAATTATAACTGATGGTTTATATAGGCTAGGCCGATCATTTTTAAATTATAATTATATTATAAAGAATTTTGAAATGACATCACACTGCCAGGTTATGACATGACTTGACACTGATAAAACAATGAAATGATCTAACACCATTGAAGTTGTGATATGACAATATGTTGACAAAATAATGACATGACTTGACACTAATTAAGCTAATAAAATTATGAGGTTACTTAAATGGTCATGACTTATCAAGATCTGACATTGATTATAATTGTTAATCTTCATCTGACATATAATCATCTGATACGTATTATTCATTAGACAAGATAACATTTTGCTCAACTATTATCAACTTTTGTTCATATGCAGTACTCACCATGCATGTTGCTACTTGGGGCATATAATATCGCCTACGCACTATCATCCTATTATTCTCTCTTCAAACATGTTTGACTGTTGATTCGTAGTCCTCTACCTTTGTTGCATCGTTAGTGAAAGTCTATGTGGCACCACAATGCAAAGTTCTCTTAGTTGTGTGCATAATGCGTCTGATTCATTAACACAAAACGCCTACTCTCGTTGTACTCTTGCATAATATTCTTTTGAATTAGAAAATCTCCCACTACTGTAATCATCGTTTCGCTCTTTTAACAATCAAAGCCGTTCACGACTGTTATTGTTATAGACTGTAGATCCTCTTGATGTAGACATAATGTTCAATATATCAACCACGTATAAGGTGTTTATATAGTAATCTCAATAGATGATTATATATTACCAAGGTTATATCAACAATAGAATGAAATTCAATTTTATGCATATAGATCTGCAAATCTTGAATGGTCACATTTTACATTCTTTTAAAAATTCCATTGTCATATTATATCGTCCTTTAAATTTAAGTTTATCCTCTTTTAACTTTGAAATTTTCTATTGAAATGATTTGTATCAAATCAAATTTTTTACTCAAATGTTGATTCAAATTGAAGTAAAAATTTGATTCGAGATTAAAAATGACCTAAGGTGTGTGGTTTGAGTTTTGGGTGAAAATTGGCCTCAATTGGGTTTTGTTCCCTTCCTGGGGCGGAGCGAACCATGGGTTGAGGTGGGTACATGCCCCACTCTCAAATTTTCTTTTCTTGATATTATATATATATTGAAATAAAATTTAGACATATTTAATTGTATCCACCCTATTATTGTGTTTTAGTGATATCAATTTGGATAAGCTCTTGCCTAAATAATTATTAACTTTTGAATAATGTCATTGAGACATAATGTATTGCGATATTAAACTTAATAGTGAGTTCCAATATTTAATAAATTTTACTATCAATTCAATGGTCACAAACCACTGGATCTTAAATGCCACAAGCATTATTCTTAATTTTTAAACGCGTTTCAGACATCTCCAAATAAGTTTTAAATATAGTGAGGTTATTTTTTTTTAACATTGAAAGGTTATTTTGTTATTATATAAAAATGAGTGTCATTATGTAGTAAAATATAGGGTCACAAATGTAAGATTATTACCACAATTTTATATATATAAAAAATATTTGTCGATAAGGTTGATTTGTAATTCTTTCAAATAATAAAAACATATAAGGGTCAATTATAAGTGACAATAATTATTCTCATTCTTGATAAGAAATTTTAATTATTTTTTATTTGTCCATGTTATATATATATATCGATTTTAATCTTTTATGTTTAATAAAATTTTAAGTATTAAATATAAATTTATGAACTTCTAAGGTCAATTGAAAAAAAAAAAAATTTAAAACGCGTTAATGTGTCCACTCTAAAACTTTTTCCTGGTTTCGCCCTTGCTCCCCTCCAATTCAAAGTAATGGAAGAATGGTTCTATATTTTTTTTATACTGAGAAAATGTACATGTAAGCAAATTTCATTTTAACTTTCCTAATATGGACATATATTAATCACTAAAATATATACACACACACTCACACTAGCAATTGCCCGTGCCTTCAACAAATAAAAAAATTACAATTATATGATTAGAGTTTATAGTAGTGTTTTAAAAAATCGCATTTATATGATTCGAGTTTACACAATTGCTGGTAATTGTCCGTGCCTTGTAACAAATAAAAAAATCGCAAACAATTGTGTTTATGCTTGAAGACGCCATATAACACAAAAAAGCGTCAATCAAAAAAATTGAGAAAAAAATCATCAATCAATGCGTGTGCAACATAACACAAACTCGGCAATTAAAAAACTGAAAAAAAAAAAAAAAAAGCGCCAATCAATATAGGTCGACTATTATTTTTAAAATTTTTAAACAATTTTCTCTAAAAACATGACTCCTAAACAATTACAATCTTCTGACCAAAAACAAGAGAACAAAACAATTTTTGAACACACCTTAAATAATCAAATAGCTCAAATCTATTGCATTGTGCCTTAGGAGATTGAAAATTTTTTTAGCTCTCTACGACCATCAAAAGTATAAAATAAAAATAAAACTTTATACTCAAAATTAAACATTTGACTTAATTTGTATGACATGCAAATACAAATATGCACTCTTAAAGGACCAATCATAGCTTTGAATCAGTCTTTCAAAGAGCAAAAAGAAGACATACAAATTTAGCACAAATTGTGGCAGCTACATAAGTTCGCCATTACCACATAAACAAACATAAAAATTTAACTTTTTTTTCTAAATTTATACCTTTAACATGTTTTTTTATCCCAAACCTGCAAAACCCATAAACAAAATATAACTTTTTTTGCCCAAAGTTGCAGATTTAATAGTTTTTATACACCAAACGCTCGAAACTCACAAACTATATTAGACCTTTTACATGTTTACATGACCTGTAAGCCATAAGCTCGACCTTTTATTGGTTGAAGTCTTAACAATTTCTTGTGCTTGTCCAAATTCACACCCTTTTTATCAAAAGAAACAAAATTCAATGTTGCCTTTGTCTACATTTACCTATCATCGCCCTACCTATCCCAAATCCTAGGATATCATTAATAAAATCAATCTTTTTTTTTTCAAACTTACAAATTTAATAATTGATCGTTTAAAGCAAGTAAATTTGGACCCACCCAAAAAGTAATGTTACAAATTTGTTAAAAATACCTTATATTATTGTCGGTTGCAGCTGTTGCTTTTGCAGGAGTGTGAGAGAGGTAGAAATACTCTCCTGAAGTAAACAAATCAATAACGTCAAATTAACACTGAACGAAAACAAATTCGGCTAATCTTTAGTTCAATGTGTTCGACAACATTTCAATGTGCTTGAAAAATATGATAAGTGTAACACGTCGACCACAAAAAGTGTGTATGAAAACATTTCATCAAACGAAATGTATGTGACACTCAAATAAATATCCCATAAATTCTTATAAGATATCGTCAATTGATAGTTATTATTGCAATAAAAAACAAAAGAATAAACTAAATAATATCGCCAATTGCAGTTGATTTTTACAACATATAACGCAACCACAACAAATGATCTTTAGAAGATTTACGTATCATACTGCAATGGGAAAAGAAAGAACAAAGCCAAGACGAATTCCAAGATTTTGCAACTTGAAGCAATCCAGATTTTTCTGAAACCCTCCATGCAGCAAAGTGCAATTCCGACTGCAATACTTCAATTTAAACAATTAAAGCACACATTGTCGCCAAAAAAATTCCAAAAAGAAGTCAACGAATTATAGAAAACTCATTTGAAATACATCCAAAAAAACTAACTTTAAGCAAAAATCTCAATTAAAATCCAGAAATCAACATCAAAATTCAAAACAAAAAAGTCACCCCAAACTTCAATAACACAAATTCTTAAAAGCAACGACAAACATATCAAAAGTAAGAGGATCTTCCAAGAACAACCTCAACTCCGAAGCCTTCTTCACCTCCGAGAGCAGTGGGCATAACATTCCTTATCACAAAAAACGTGCATATTTCAGAGCATTAATAGAATGGATATTTATTCAAAGAATTACCTGAGCTAGTTCATATTTTTCTGTAATCTTCCCTAAGACAAAAACCAATAGAAATCTGCATAGCAAACAGTCACCACATAACCACCTCAACTCCATTTTTGCCCCTAAATCCAAACATATCAAAAGTTAGTCACAACTCAATCCATTATACGCACACAGACACCCTTTAGCAACAATTCGACATAAGAAAACGACAGCGAAAGGGCAATCCAAGAGACACCCAACCCGCACCATTAAGAAAGAGAAGAGAGAAGAAATCATTTCCCGAAAACCCCAAAAGCCTCCCAACCGATAATCCTCTGATGTTGCCTCTGTGTGTGTGTTCTGCTAAAACCCAAAATGCAAACCCCCTCACAAAAACACCAAACCAATAGCCCCCTCAACCCAGAATCCTCTGTGTGTGTTTTGCGAAAACCCCAAAACTGAAATCGAGCCCTATTATGTGTGTCGTTGTGTGTCTGTATGCACATGTGTGATAGGAGCAGAAAGAGGTGGAGATATAGAGAGAAGGAAGACATACTTGGTGTGAAGGGAAGAGTGAGGAGAGAGAATAGAGGGAGAGATACAGCAGCGGCTGAGTGGAGAGAGAGTCGATCTTGGGAAACCATTAGTGTATGATTTGGGTGGGAAATTAGGACGTTAATTTGGGTCATCTGCGTCAAGAATCGGAAGAGATAGCCGACAAAGAAGATAGAGAGAGCGCGAATGAGGCCAGTCCATTATTCGGGGAGTTAAACGTGGACGTAAATTTCAGTATTAAAATTTTTGAATAAAATAGAATTTAAAATTCATTTTGATCCGTTGGATTAAAATTTTTTGAAATGATTTGAGAAGTCAATAGTTCGAGACAGTTTGAAATAATGTCGTCCTTTAGATAATATTTTTATTTTTTGTCACGAAAAGATCTACACTACTTTTTATCTCTAAAATTCAAAATCGTCCTATTTTATTATATAGTAGAAATTGTCCGTACCTGAAGACACTATGTAATAAATTAAAAAATTACAAATAAATGGCCCTTACTCGAAAATACTATATAACACAAAAAAAATTGTCACTAAAAAAAAATAGAGAAAAATGACAATCAATGACCCAACATAACAAAAAAAACTGTCAATTAAACAATTGAGAAAAAATGTCAATAAAAAATCATCAATTGCTAGATGATTATACATGACCCTGTAAAAAAATTAAGAAAAGCTGCCCCAAAAAAAAAAACCCATGAACAGAAATACATGTAAATATTACTAATACGAAATTTTTATAACATAAACAATCAAATGATAGATCACCAAAAAAGACCCACCTATAAACCACGCAAAAGATGTTTGCTGCTTAGTTGTAATACCTGACTACATCAACAACATAGCCAATGAATAATAAATTATTCGAATTAGACACGACATCCACCGCATCACCATAATAGCAACAATAGTTAAATCCCATGGAAAAAAAATAGGATACCACATAAAAAATGTTATAAAATACCTGTCAACAATTTCAGTGAGTAGACTCAGTACTCTCAGTTGTAGTAATATGTCAAAGGCTATTTTATGCTTTAAGAAACCATCAGCAAACACCCATTCGTCCAAAAACTTGGTTGGTCCATCAATGTACAACAATGCCAATGCATAAATTTTGGCCAACTTTGGCAAAGGTGTAACAACCAAGAACAAAAAATATAATGATCGATAAGAACTCTTTCTAATTCACTTTTTGCTTGTTATCTTGTTCATTTACCATTGAGATTTGCCACGGAAATTTGAACAGAACAAATAAAGAGCACATATCAGTGCTGGCAGTCGCGAGTTTTATATAGCTAAGAAAAAAGTCGTAAATTTTATGATTCACAAGCAAAACATGCAAAAAAGTTTTGACCAACCCAAGAGACCATGAATTAGTTTCATTAACAGTAGAAGGCTTTCGATTGTTGGCATGCGTTCTCTTGTGCATGTGTGTGGCTGTGTTATGTTTGTGTGTGTTGTGTTTGTGTTTGTATGTGTTGTGCTGTGTGTGTGTGTGTTGTGTGCGCTAAGTGAGTGTGATGTGCTATGTGAGTGTTCTGTGTGTGAAACAATTTGTAGCATTTGATCGAATATCTTATGGGGGCAATTACTGAAAATAATTAACACAAAGATATCAAAAGGCAAAGCTTGATAGAGGAGAGAGGAATGCAAGACCTTGGATTGTCAAAGGATGTTTCTGAAACTGTATCAAATATTTTGCAAACCCTTCTTTGCTATTGAACCCATTGATTGCTCCATCTTTGTGTCTACTATCTATTACCATGGACACACGTCTTTGAATACCAAAAATCATTTTTCAAAAATTTTCCGAAAACCTAACCAAAAACCCCCAAGTTTTTGAATTCAGAAAAAAAAATCCTAAAGTGGCCACTATCAATTGGTACAAAATTTCTCACAATTCCTAAATAATTAGAAATCCTATGAACTTGGCCAATGATGTTCAAGAAGCAAATTGGAGTGCTAGATTTTTAAAAATACATATTCTATGCTCCCATTATTGAACATAGTGAGCAAAAAATCAAATATTCACATGAATATTGCATCATTTCATAATTGAATAGCACAAAACTATTTTTGTCTCCATAATCGAATAGCATAGAGCAACACGCACACAGAAAAAGAGAGAGAACACACATACTCAACGTACACAAAAACACACACACAGAACACAAATGTACACACAGAGAGAGATAACACACACACTAACACACAGAGGACACAAACAAATGCTCACACACAGGATTGGAATAAAAGTGAACTCAAAAAGATTGGAATACCATGGAATAACAGTGATTAGTGAACTCAAAAGGAATGGAATACCAATGAACGCAGTTGAATAATAGTGTATGTGAGCAACAATAGAGAGAGGGTAGAGAAGAAAGACGGGATGCACAAGGAGAGAGAGATAGGAAAGCGAGAGCAGAATTCGGTAGGAAGTGTAGTTTGTAGGGAGAGAGAGGATAATTGGAGAAGATATACGGCTTGAAATAGGTAACACAGGGCAATTCTTTTTGGTATGGCAAAAAGATCGCATTGAAAGAAGTTCAGGTATGAAAAGGAGATCACAGAGATCTCATTCTGTTAAGGAAAGAAGTTCAAAATTAAGGCATGAGAGATTCCTGAAGATCAAAATTAGAGCTTCTCCCACCCGGTTGTGAATTATAGATTCAAGCACGGGCTGGCTTGAATTTTGGAAAGTGAGAAAGAGAGAGAGAGGGGGGGGGGGGAGAATATAAAGCAGGGATATTAATTTTAGAAATTAAAAATTTTGAGTGAGAAAAATATTTTAAAAGAGTTAAAGTAGTACGTTGGATCGAAATGATCTGAGGCGTCAATAATTTGAGACAGTTTGAAATATCGTTAGTCATTGGATGATGCATTTTTTGATCTCGAAATGATCTGAACCGCTCTTTGTCTCTTGAATTCAAAATCGTTCTACTTTATTATATAGACTAGCAATTGTCCGTGCCTTACTCGTAAATTAGTTATAAATGTTTCTTTATACATAAATGTAAAGTAAATACAACATTATAGTAAACGACGAACAAAATGAGTCCGCTAATATTTTTTATAACTTCAACCTACATGCATAACATATGTTTTTACATTAAATTGTTACGCCATGAAAATTATGTTATAACCACTGAAACATAATAATTCAAACATCTGGGGAAAAAAAAAGTTGACAATATTCAACGTTCTATTTTTGATTCAAAATTCACGATTTTAACATTCACAATCAACTTTATCTAAATAATAACAAAATTCATAATCAATAGAATGAAAATTAAAACAATACTCCCACAAATAAACTAAGTCTGCAGATGTTGTCAAATGACCAAATATAACTGTCAGCAATTCAACCGACTTCTAAAAGATACGACCTGACTATTGAATTTGTATGATTCGAATTTATAATAGTGCTTTTAATTTTATATCATTTTCTCGCTTATTTATATTCTTAGTATATTTTTTTAAACTAAACGTTATTTAATATTAGATTATTTAGTAAAAATTGTTGTTTCACGTTGTTCACTAAATATTAAATTTATATGATTCGTATTCATAGTATTGCTTATAGTTTTTTGTTTCGTTTATCTCGTTTGTGATTTTGTATCATTTTTCTCGGGTATTTAAATTTGGATTATTTAGTAAATATTGTTACTTTGTGTTGTTCACTAAATATTGAATTTGTATGATTCGTGTTTATATGTAAATTTAATCTTGTATATTTTAAATGTTAAGTATATTTTTTTTAATATATCTCTTGATATCTGAATTGTCCAATAACTTGAGTTTAATCTTATATATTTTACATGTTAAACATATTTTTTTTGTTAAATTAGATTTTTTTCAAAGTTATGTTTTTTTTATTAATTATGGAAAAAAAATAAAATTGAATATTGAATTTGTATGATTCGAGTTTATAGTAGTGCTTTTAATTTTATATCATTCCTCTCAGTTATTTATATTCTCGGTATATTTTCTTAAACTAAACGTTATTTAGTATTAGATTATTTAGCAAAAATTGTTGTTTCGTGTTATTTACTAAATATTGAATTTGTATGATTCGTGTTTGTATATGAATTTAATCTTGTGCATTTTAAATGTTAAGCATATTTTTTTAATATATCTCTTGATATCTGAGTTGTCTAATAACTTGAATTTAATCTTGTATATTTTACATGTAAAGCATATTTTCTTTGTTAAATTATATTTTTTTCAAGTTATATTTTTTTTATTGATTATGGAAAACATAAAATTTGCTATTGAATTTGTATGATTCGAGTTTATAGTAGTGTTTTTAATTTATATCATTATTCTCGGTTATTTATATTCTTAGTATATTTTCTTAAGCTAAACATTATTTAGTATTGGATTATTTTTTAAAGATTGTTATTTCGTATTGTTCACTAAATATTAAATTTGTATGATTCGTGTTCATAATATTTCTTATAATTTTGTATCGTTTATCTCGTTTGCAATTTTGTATCATTTTTCTGGGGTATTTAGATTTGGATTATTTAGTAAGTATTGTTATTTTGTGTTGTTCATTAAATATTGAATTTGTATGATTCGTGTTTGTATATAAATTTAATCTTGTATATTTTAAATGTTAAACATATATTTTTTAATATATCTATTGATATCTGAGTTGCCCAATAACTTGAATTTAATCTTGTATATTTTACATGTTAAGCATATTTTATTTGTTAAATTAGATTTTTTATAAGTTATGTTTTTTTTTTATTGATTATGGAAAAACAAAATTGACTATTGAATTGTATTATTTGTATTTGTAGTATTGCTTGAATAACACAGAGAGATATAAATGAATATTTTTGTGATATATACTAACTATCTAATATTTATTACATAATTTTCTTTCAGAGAGAGATACAGATGAATATTTTCGTAATATACTATATCTCTGTGATATATACTATCTGTCTATAGAGAGATGTAGTATTTGCTTGAATTAAGTACTATCTAGTATTTTCGTGAGATACAGAAGAAAATATTGTGAAAAATTGATATTTTTTGCGTAAATTGAGCGTGAGAGAGTGGGAGAGAGATTTGATTGGTTTAAAGAAAAGATTTGGAAAATTAAATTTTGGAATATCAATTTTGAAAACTATAAATTTTGAGCAACAAAAATATTTCAAAAGAGTTAATGTAGTACGTCGGATTAAAATGATCTAAGATGTCAATAGGTCGAGACAATTTAGGATAACGTCATCCGTTAGATGATACTTTTTTTGGTCACGAAACGATCTAGACTACTCTTTATTTCTAAAATTCAAATTCATTATACTTTATTATATATATATATATATATATTTATCATTTATTTAATAACTAATTATTGCCTGTACCTGAAGGCACTGAGTAATAAAAAATGGTAAACAATAAACATATTTACTTTTATTTCTAAAATCAAATCACAAATATAGAGAAGAGATAAATGATTTTAAGCATCAATTTATAGTGGGGGTGAGAGGTGTTGGGCGACAATGGTGATGGTGATGGTTATGGTGGGTGGCGGTGGTAGTGGCGATGGCGGCGGTGGTGGTGGCAATAATAGTAGTGGTGGGGGTGATAATGGTGAAACGATTTCAAACACTATTTTTTTTAAAAATATTTATAAGAAATAATTTCTAAAAATATTTTTAAAAAGTGATTCTAAACACACTTTTAGGTGCCTATTTTTCCCATTAAATATAGGGTATTAGTCGTTAGATTAACTTTAAAGTAAAATTTAAAGCAATCTCAACCGCAAATAATAAAAATTATTTTGTTTATCTTTTAAGATTTGAATTGTAAGCTACTTTATTATATAGATTGGAGGGTATCCCTTCTCAGCTGTGCAATTAAGAAACTGGAGGGATCAATTGTGTCTTATTTCTTTTATGCAACTAATGGGAGTTTAATTCTCCTCATACTATTTCCTTTTGAAAAAAAAAATTATTCAAATATCATAGTTTTAAATTTCTTTATCAAATACCTTTTTTTTATAAAATTATATTTAAAAAAAATACTTTTCAAGACACGTTTTTTAAACCAAGTTTTGATGATAAAATGGTATTGTAATTGGAAAAAACACAAAAAAAATATTGGAAAAATCATACAAAGAAAGTGTCAAAATATCGTGTTTCATAGCCTTTTACTTAGAAAAAACATACAAAGAAAGTGTCAAAATAACATGTTTCATAGCCTTTTACTTGGAAAAATATATAAAGAAAGTGCCAAAATAACATGTTCCGTAGTCTTTTACTTGGAAAAGATATATAAAGAAAGTGTTTACTTTGAAAAAACATACAAAGAAGTGTCAAAATAACATATTCTATAGCCTTTTACTTGGAAAAAATATATAAAAAAAGTGTAAACATAACGTGTTTCATAGCCTTTTACTTGAAAAAAATATACAAAGAAAGTGTTTACTTGAAAAAAGCATACAAAGAAAGTGTCAAAATAACGTGTTCCATAGCCTTTTACTTACTAGTTTACAATATTATTGGACCATATCACTACTAAGTCAGTATATTAAGTCAATTTTTTAGATTTCAATAGGATTACTCTTTATATGAAAGTGATATAGTGCACTCAGTACAAATATATTTGATATATATTCATTAGAGTTGTCTATGGTACCGAAAAAAGAAATTTCGGTACCGCACTAATATTTACTATATTTGTAAGTATTTTTACTATTGTTGTAGATGCTTTTATCATTGTTTTGATATCGAAAAAAGTGATATAAATAGTTTTCAAAACAACCGGTGGCTAACCCATGTTATGGCCCAATGGGACCATGACCCCCTCAACTTTTTGAAATTTGACATTATACCCTTATAATTATGTTCTGATTATATTTTATATTTTATATATCATTTAAATTCTTAAAATTATAATTTATACATTGAATTATAATCTTGATTTTATTTTATGCTCTCGTCTATTGATTAGATCATGTTGAACCATTAACTATTAAAATTGTGACAGTTTATATAAATCGTTAAATTTTGGTATATTAAATTTATAAATTTTATATTATTAATGGTGCAATTGATTTGCCTTTTTATGTCTAATAATTCAACTAGTTTCGATTAAATTTATTCATTTAATTGAAAATAATAATTACACTATACCATGGGAGATTAATTCTTATAAATTGTATACATGTAAATGTCATAAGTCATAACCTCAATGATCTAATTGAATGATCTACATTGAGTACAAACTATATAAAATTTAGTTTTACCCCTGATTACAACAATTGTAAAAATATCCACAAAAATAATAAAATTTTTAATTATAAAAAAACCTGAATTTTTTTCTCTGGTACCATAGTAAGTCCTTTATTCATACATATATATATTATAAAAAAATCGATTATACCCTTTAGTTAGGATAGGAAGGAAAATTCTTATTGTTGACGTTGACGTTGACGTTGACGTTGACTTATCTATACAATGAAAAGTAGACTCAGAGGACTCAACAAAGCCAGCAGAAGATACTAGCCACAATTTGAGCACAACTATCTACTACCTCCTCTCAAGTGTCAAAGCTGTGTTTTAATGGCCACCAAAGGAAGAAGAATGAGAGTACTTCTTCTTCTTCTTCTTCTCTATTTGTCAAGGTGTTTTTTGTTCTTCAACTTCAGCCCTGCGTACTCGGAGACAGACACAATCTACTTGGGTCAACCTCTCAGAGATTGGGAACAGCTGATTTCAGAAAACCAGATCTTCAAGTTACAATTTTTCAGCCCTGTGACGACTTCAAGTAGCCGTTATATAGGCATATTTTACAACAAAGGGGAAAGAACCGGAAGGCCGTGTGGATGGCAAACCGAGACTACCCTATCCCCGATGCATCTGGGAACCTGATCATCGACGATGATGGCAGGTTGAAAATTTCATACAGGGGGGGCCTCACTGTCACTGTAGTTAATTCTCTTCCGGCAACAAGCAATACAAGTGCTACACTGCTGGATTCAGGCAATTTTGTACTCAGAGAACTCGATTCAAATGGGTCTGTAACGCGGATTTTGTGGGAAAGCTTTGATTATCCTACCGACACGCTTCTACCAGGAATGAAACTTGGTATCAACATCAAAACTGGGCATAAATTGTCGCTAACTTCTTGGAGAAGTGATGAGGTACCTGCCTCAGGGTCTTTTACCTTTGGTGTAGATTCCAATGGTACGGGACAACTTGTAATCTGGTGGCGAGGGAATGTCTACTGGACTAGTGGGCTATGGAGCAACGGGAGCTTTGACAATGTCCGCCAATTGTCCTATGAAGACTACTACAACTTCAGCTATGTCTCCAATGAGAATGAGAAATACCTCAGCTACTCAGTGAATGAAAGCAGTAATTCACCAATGTTCTACATGAGACCAGATGGTGGAATGAGAGGCGAAGTATGGGCGGAACCTATTGGTGATTGTGAGTGGCGTTCTGGCAACTATACTGGGTGCAACATGACCGTGAACTCGCCAGAGTGCAGGAAACCAAACTACTCTTTACAAGCACAAGAAAAAAAACTAATTAGTGATGGAATCAAGTACGATGAAAGCTACAACTTGAGTGATTTTGATTGCAAGAAAATATGCTGGAACAATTGCTCTTGTGTTGCCTATGCTACTAACAAGGGAACCGGATGTGAGATTTGGATTCAAGGAATGAGTTTCAAAGAATATTTTGGTTCTTACTTCGACGACAAGCAATTTTATTTTCTTTCTTCAGAAAGTGTTTCAAAAAGAGGTTAGTTTACATCTCGGAGAAGTTCAAACATAGGCAGATTTTTTTGCGTATATTAAAAAGAAAGCATGTTGGACACATCTTTTCGTTTTTCTTTTTTTTTTTTTTTTTTTTTTTTTTCATATTTTGGCAAAAAAAAATAAATTAAATATATATATATATTTTTACTGCTTTGTTTTGAAAACAATGTCTATGAAAATATCTAAAATGTTGTTTTTGAAAACATCAAAAAATCCAAGCAAGCGGCGATTCTTGTTTCCCATTTAATGAGGTGTGGACTTCGAACGTTCTCCACAGCAAAATATTCTTTTTTTTTTTCCCTTACCATGTAAATGCCAAGAAAAATGCATTTTACTCATTTCTTCAAACAAGCTCCAACTCCGCAGACGGCTCCAACTCTACAGACGTCTCCATCTCCGGCGAAGACCTTCATCTCCGGCGAAGCGGTAAGCTCCCTTTTCTTTGCAAAATTTTTCATTTATTTTTAGATCTATGATGATGTTGTTCAGATCTCGGTGGTGGGGGTGGGTTCCGGGGGTTGTGGTAGTGGGTTTCGGTGGGGGGGGGTGGGTTTTGGTGGTGGGTGGTGGGGGTGGGTGGTGGTTTGGGTGGGGGGTGGGGTTGGGTGGTGGTTTTGGGTGGTCAGGGGTGTTGGGTGGTAGGGTTTGGGAGGCGAGTTTTTGGTATAATATCAAACAGATTTTTTTATTTTTGTTTTCATAATTTTTTAAATATAAATGATTAAGCATGTATAATATTTTTAATTTTTATCACAGAAAAAATAAAAATTAGTTCTGTTTTTTTATAAAAAAACATAAAAAAACGAAAATGTTATCGACCACCCTTAATAATTGCAAACTTGTTTACATGCATTTTCGTATATGAATAACAAATATATATAAACCTGAATACCTTTAATATTATACATGTGATTAAGCGTGGAGGAAAAGTTGTAAACATGTTTAGGATAATCAGTTTCAATGCTCTAACTTTTCCTCTGTTCATGAATTACCCAGTGTAAACAGTTCATAAAAGAGATGATTAGAGGGTCACCTACGTTAAATTATCTTCTCAAGCTTTATGTTGAATTTGAGAAGCAACTTCCACCTGTAGCTGAAATAGATGATAGATGGCCAGATGCATAATGAAGAGAGTTAATGTAGGAATAATTATGATATTTCAACAAGAGTCTTTGAATGCAGGAAAGAAGTGGTGGATATGGCTGCTCACTGCAATGGGTGCTTTCGCTATAATACTCATATCATGCTATCTAGTACAAAGAAAGCTCAAACTAATAGGTGAGCTCCACAAATTATCATTAAATTCAGATGACAATTGTTTCTGAAATTTTAATTTCCATGTTTATCTATTAGGAAAGAGAAAAAGAAGCCAGAAGATGATACTGTCTGAGCTAAGAGGGAATCCAACGCAGGACACCAAATACAGCAAAGCCAATAATTACAAAACAGACGAGAGGATGAGCCAGGAATTACACTTTTTCAGCTTTGAAAGCATTGCAGCTGCCACTGATAGTTTCTCAATCACAAATAAGCTAGGAGAGGGTGGCTTTGGACCAGTGTATAAGGTAAACTTTGTGCACTCCTCAGCTTAAAATGATTTGAGAAATCACTCATTGGCAATATTTCAGGGAAGATTACCTGATGGACAAGAGATAGCAATAAAAAGACTTTCAAGAAGTTCAGGTCAAGGACTGGGGGAGTTCAGAAATGAAATTCTTCTAATTTCCAAACTCCAACACACTAATCTTGTTAGGCTATTAGGATGCTGCATTAAAGAGGATGAGAAAATTTTAGTATATGAATTCATGCCCAACAAGAGCTTGGATTTCTTCCTCTTCGGTATGCAATCCTAAACACTTGTAACTGCTTCTTTTGGAGATGAACCATAATCCTGCCATATTTTTAGCAATCGCTCCCACTCAAATCCCATATGTCCACTGCAAACAGATCCTACAAGAAGAAAACTACTGAGATGGACAAACCGCTTCAACATCATTGAAGGAATTGCTCAAGGGGTACTTTACCTCCACAAATATTCGAGACTGAGAGTTATTCATAGAGATTTGAAAGCCAGCAACATCTTATTAGATGACAATATGAACCCAAAAATATCAGATTTTGGCTTGGCAAGAATATTTGGGGTTAGTGAATCAGAAGCAAACACAAACAGAATCGTGGGCACACTGTAAGCAAAAATAAATTAAAAATGTTCATCATCTGAATGTCCACACAAGTTTTAACACTACACTTCTTTTGAATCTTCAGTGGCTACATGTCTCCGGAGTATATCCTTCAAGGCGTTGTTTCAATGAAGATTGATGTATTCAGCTTTGGAGTTTTACTGTTAGAGATTGTGAGCAGCAAGAAGAACAATAGATGCTATCATTCAGATTATCCACTCAACCTCGTAGGATATGTAAGTTTGTCACTGAAATTCAATCTTTGTCTGTCAGTTCGTCATCAGGAAGCATTGATTCACATAAGGTAGCTAACATTGCAAACTATGAAACTTTCTTGTATCAGGCATGGGAACTGTGGCAAGAAGGTAAAGTCTTAGAGATAATGGACCTAACATTAGATGAATCTTGCGATCGTAATGAAGTAATGAGGTGCATACATGTGGGTCTCTTGTGCGTACAAGACAATGCAATGGACAGACCCTCCATGTCAGATGTTGTTTCCATGCTTACAAATGAAACAATGACTTTACCTGCACCAAAGAAACCCGCATTCTTCATACAAATGAGTGCACCAAAGGTGGAGGAGACATGTGAGAAGTTGGAAAACCAGTCCAACAATGGGCTATCGATTTCAGAGCTTGAAGGCAGATAAAGGTATAATTTATGCATTGGTATATTCAAAAACATATTACCCAAAATTTGATGATTTATGGGACTTTGTCTACAAAATAATTGGTTTTTTTTTTGGTCAATACAAAAATAATTGGCTTGAGTTGGGCCTTGTTAATACTCTCAACTCTTCATGACAGGCCTCAAATGTAATTGTATCAGATGATGCAAATTCAATGTAGGCATTAATTTACATTATTATATCAGAATTGTGAAGTTTTTGCAAATGATGAATTGAAAACGACCAGATTTGAAGAAAATAGACAACAAGAATCCTAATTGAAAGACGAAATAACAGCATAGATGATTGAAGATAGTAAAAAGAATCAGATGCTTTATTAACTCTAAAGTGAGATCTCTGTCTCTGTCTCTCTGTATCGAGCCGTGACCATCGTCAGTGATGTGTCAACACCATGACATCCATAGGGTGGCTCTTAGAAATGGGTTCACCCATTGGCGAAGCTTGATGGTGCCTACATGTGGTTGAATTTCGATGGGTGTGGCTGAATTGGTCTCTTGATTAAGTGGGTTTTTCTTTGATTAGAAGGTGGCGCCACCGCCACGGATCAGGAGAGAAGAGAGAGCTAAAAGGGATTAAGGGGGTTAGAGGGTGGACAGTGAACCACCACAATGGCAAGAAACCTGTCTGTGGACTGGACGCAGAGACAGAGAGGGAAGGAGAGAAAGAACAGGGATGATGTACTTTGAGTTTTATTTGCTCGAGTCTTCGCGTGTCCCTGAGTGAGAGAGAGAGGAGATGGTGGCTTCGTAGAGTTGAGCTACTTCTATTTTTGGATGCATAAAAACGAATCAAGTCTCGGTTATTGTGGTTTTGGCGGAGATTTGGGCGGAGTTGCAGGGTGGTGGTAGAAGTAGAGGCATTGGGCGGTGGAGGTGTGCCACGGAGCAGGAGTAGGGGGTGATAATTGGGTTGTCTGGATTAAGACATCGTAGTTCGTGTCAAATATTAGTTAATCACGACCTAATTCATTTAATAAATTACGTTATGTCAAGTTGATTTGTTTATTTTTATATCGTGTTTGTATTCGTGTTGATCTATATAAATTTTGAATAAAAAATTTAACTTTAAAATTCGATTTTCACTTAATTAAATTTAGGTTTATATTTTTTTTATAAATTAAAAATTAACTTAATAATAATAAGTAAAAATATTTTTTTATACAATAATTATTTTAATGCTTAATAAATAGTTACAAATAATTAATATTTTATTTCTACAAACAGTTAATAAACATGTTAATCGACTAGTGATAATCTGTGTTTGAAGGTACGATAAAACATAAAATTTGTGCCCCAAAAAATCGATCTCACATTGTTAAATAATAATTTTTTTTCCTTCATTTCTTTTATTACATCATTCAAAATTTATTTTTACCTATTATTCTTTTAAAAATATTAACAAAATTTTCTCAAAAATACGTAATTTGATAAAATTTTATTCACACACATATATATATATACTATCGTGTATGGACAATATTTGAAATAAAAAATTATGTTAAATTACAAATTGATCAAATATTAAGTAATTGAACTACTTGTCTTGTAAAAATTTTGTCTTCTTGAGGTCAAAAATTCAAGTCCCCTCTTTCTCCTCCCTTCTCCCCCCCCCCCCCCCTCTCAAATAAAAGTAATTGAACATGTAATAGAAATGAATTGTTTTGGAGGAAAAATGTAAAGAGAATAAAGTTCAACTTCCTATATGTTTTATTATATAAATGTTAATTGTGTTATATACAAAAAAGAAAATAGAGGAAATGCCCATTATGAACTAAGTCCTTCAAAATTATTGTGATTTTAAAACTGTTAGACTTAAAATAAATTTTTTTTACGCTACAAAGGAAGAATAGTTATCATATTCTTGAATTGAGACCATATATATATATATATATATATTTGTACTATATCTAAACAGGTTGAGCATGCCGTTTTTGGATAAAAAATTATTAGGTCATGTTCGTGTCGTTAACAGGTCATTATCGGATTTGTGTCGACACAATTAAATAAACGGGTTGATCGTGTCAATTTCAAGTTTGGTAGGTTGAACCGGAACATGATCCATTTTTATTTCATATTTATGTGTTAGGTCATTTTTAAGTTCGTGTCATTAAATTCGAGTCGTCGTGAGTCAAAAATTATCACCCAAGCAGAAGGCTTTTTGGATCTTCTGATAAGTAAATATTTAAGAATTCAGGGGTAAATTTGTAAAGTGACAATTTTCGTGAATACCGTCTTTGGCAAGCACTGACAGAAGATGTCAAACTCTCGAGGGTATGGAAGATTTGGAAATTAGTTTGACAAATAAGGTTTTTAGCTATTGAGTTTGACAAATAAATTGGAAAACTAGAAAGAAAGTTTTTTTTGTTTTCCCGGGAAGTGGAAAGTTATGAAAGTTAATGGTACAAACTAAGCCCAGTTCTTAGATTGATTTCAAATTATCGTAAGGCAGGTCAAGTTTAGTTTATGGTTTCAATCTAATTCAAATCTCAACAATTTAAGAAGAGTCAACGCATGTGAGAATGTAATTATTGGAATAGTCATTTTTTCAGGATAATGTTTGATGATGTGCTTAGCACGATAGAGAAGAGATGAGAGATTGATGAGTCACTGAGTAACTCAGTCTGAGTTTCTAGACTCATAAGATCTAGATCAAAGATATGAGATTAACACACATAGAGTTTATAGTGGTTTACCAACTCAGGATCTTGACTAATTTACTATATTGTCTACTGATTAATGCAATTCATACTTATGTTTATTTAACTCAGGGTACAATTGACATTGACTTCCCTAATCTGCGTATGGCTTGATCGGAACCCACCTACCATGGGTTTGATGAAACCCACATTCAAGGGTTTAAGATGTTAGGCCAGCTACGGGCCGAGACTGTTGTCCATGCCTTCTAAAAGTCATCCAAACAAGGGTTTTGGGAGTCCATTTAACTATTTTTCCTAAATTCATCTTGTCATGCCCTCATACTCACTTACCAAACAATCCCCTAATACTTATCTTAGTATAAGTTTCGTAACAAGAAAATTTTACTTTCCGAAAACATAAAAACAAGTAAACTTGAATTGCAAAGAGTAATGATTAGCCTCCCAGCACAGAGTTGATGTTTTTTCAGTCCAAAGTTGCATTTTACCCAAAAATCTCTCAACCAAAAGTTTACAGTCCCCTTCAGTTTTACAATAATTAGGAGCAACACTTTGAATTTTGTCATTTCAGATTCATATTAAATATTAATCAATTTTAACACAACTTGATTATTTAATTTTATCATATAAAACAAAAACAAATTTAACCTTTTTTACGTACAAGTCATACTCAAGTTAGATTCGTATAAATTGTGAACACGTGAACTAAAAACCTTACAATCTCCTCTTTTTCCTTTTTAAAACCCAAACCCACAAATTACAAGCCTAATTAATTAAAAATCCAATCAATCCACCAGATCACGAAATAAGAAAAAAAAAACTTTCTTAATTAATATATTAGATTAATTGAAATCTAGATGAAGAGACATAAATTCTAAATAAACTTGGTTTACTTATTATCTTATGAACGAATCATGTTATTTTTCAATTGGTGTCTAGCAAATTGCCAACTCCCATGTACTAATTTCATGTAAGTAGGGCGTTCAAGTTTTTGATTACCCGCAAATTTCGACCATATCCTACTCTACCCGACTCTATTGATTGTAGGCCAACGAAATTTTTTTTGGTATTATACAAAAAATCGGATAAGAATGTGAAATACTGACAATATGTTAATCCCTATCTAGAAACCCTAATGTTTTATTGATGTTTATGGCTTTCTTATATATGATGTATTAATATTTATGGTTTTCTTGTTGTGTTTTATTATAATTGTTTATGTATTATCAAGTTTATTGTGTTAGTTAATTAGTGTAGGTTACTTAATTAAATTGTTAAATGATCCAAAAATTAATAACTTAAAAATATGCATTCACTCGACTTCTTACCCGATTGTTTTGAACGACATTCGAATAGGAATAGTACATTTGATCGGATAAGATAGACCAAGAAAAAATTCTTCCGCAAAATATTGGATAGAAAAATAGAATACCATAACTCCTACCCGTAGGGTAGCGTGAACACCCCTAGATATTAGATTCAGGTCCCATTAAATTTCCAACCTCATCTGAGTACATGGTGAGGAAGTGAATTAACAGTGTACTTCCGAAATTCCGACAAGTTGGTCCAAATTGTTTTGGACACAGAGGCCCAAGTATATTGAAAAACTTATAATTTAGGTAATAAAGTAGATGATTGTAGACTGAAAAACCCCTCCTAGCAGGGGTGAAATTCCTTCCACAACGGGAAAGTCTTGCATACACACACACACGCTCGTGGCGCGGGGCCTCCCTCCAAACCCAACCCCAGCATTCAAATTTCTGTAATCAGAAACTTCTATAAGCATCTAGTTATCCCAAGTGTGATATCAATGGTTATTTTGATTCTAAACACCCGTGAGTATACATAGGTTAACTTAACTCAACAAAGCTTTGATCCCAACTATCTAGGGTAGAGTACCCTCCCGATTACACATAGCTAGACCAGTCAAATAACAACGACTCAAAATGCTAGCTAGATACTGATCTTTAATAAGGGGAATAACACAGGTAGAGATATCAATGTTGTTTGTCATTTATACTCTCATCTTATTTCAACAAGCATGGTAATCACCACACGGACAGTTATGTTTTATGTACATATAACCAGAATCGTAACATTTTATTGAGGCATGAGCATTTGGCTAGAATTTAACAACCTCCACTTGCAGGCTCAATCGAGCTTAGAAGACCATTGCCTCTCAGCTGCATGCAGCGATCCTCTGCATCTACTTGAGCACAGATAATATCCACTGACATGCCATTGTAATGTGCCTCTTGCATGATATTCACAGCATTGTCAAGGGTCATACCAGGTATAACCTTCATTAGCACTTGCACGACATACTCCCTCTTGTTGTAGTTGTCATTGCGTAGCAACACACGATAAGGTGGGGACATTTTCCTTGATTTCCCGAAAACCAAAGCAGTAACTGTGGTTGAATCTAGTTAAATGAATGTATGCACAGATGTAGAGTATCATGCACCAAAAATTAAAGGAATGCGTACATAAATATATATCAACAAATGAACTAAATATGGCACATGAGATCCGCACAAAAACAAGTCAGATCCAAGGGAAGACAAAGATGGGCATTTTGATATTTCACCTCTGTTAAGTGCAAAGCAATGGTGGAGAGTCATTAGAGTCAGCAAGGAAACATACATTGAAGGGGAAACAACAAAGATCCACTGTGTCAAAACCCTCATCAGAAATGCAATCTAGCAGAGACTGATTGAATAATAAGAACAAAATAATACAGTCAAATCCAGCTTTATTGTTGGTCCTGAAGAGTGGATATACAACAGAAAGTGCAAATTCTATGCTTGTACATGGAATGTATTAATTATGATAAAGATTAATTTTCCATTCCACATTAGCATTTGATAGCTGTATCTCTCACACATTGATTTCTCTCGATGAAAACAGCTAGATAAACCAAGTGATGCCCTTCAAATTGCCCAGAAGGCTGCTTGTACAGTTATCTCAGAACATTAGACAAATGAGGACTTAAAACCTGCTTGGTCTGCAAGGTGGCACTAATTAGATTGAACTAGTCTGCCATGGCCTGTCGCATTAAATTGACTTGCACCCTTGCATCTTGGTGAACTCCAGAACAGAGACATTCAGTTCCCTTGGATAACATTCTCATCCCCCACTAAGGTCTGTAGCAAAGGCAAAAGCATCTTGCAGATGCAGAGCCAGGGCACTATGCTCATGCAACTGCATCAAAGCAAGTGAGATGCGGACAAAACAGACGCTTCTTTGCCTACATTCGTACATCAGATTGATGGATTGACTGCACATGCTACCATTTGTCAACTCAAACTCCTTACAAATGGTCAATAACAGTCCAATCACATTGCCAGTTTCTGGTGCGACATGGTAAGTGACAATATTTGCATGTCAACAAGTGGTCTCGAGAAATCAAAAAGAGCAGATGTGGCATATTTCAGCAAAAATCAACTTCATGTTTATGGTCAAAGTTTGTTTTACTTCCCAACCAGGCACAAATAACATAAACAAGGCAAAGGAAACCAAATATAATTTTGAATGAGTAATTGAGTGTAATCAGCTCGTCACACCTATAAAACCAAAATATCCAACTACTCGGGGTCAGTACACGATTCAAACCTTTTATTGTGCAGCGGAGATGCTGTGAAATGAACCAAGCTAATTGAGAGCGAGTCATGGGTAAAAGTTCACTCGAGATGAACTCCACAAACGAGAGACAAGTTTGAGAATATGTTAAAGCTCATAAATTATTGAGCTCAGCTCAAGTTTAACTCCATAAGCCAGTATTAAAAACCAAGCTACTGGCAATTGGCTCGGTTGGGAGCTCACTCAAGATCCTTAAGCTGGATTATTAGCCTGTTAAAGTTTCAGAACCAAGCTAGAGCAACACCTAATTGTCTTGATTCAGCTCGTTTCCACACCTAGGCCCCAAGAAGATGATGATATTTTTGCATTCAATAATAAAGGAAGAGGATATTAAATTCAATGTAGCAGTGACACAGCACTGCTCCAAATATTTGTCGCAGATGTTACAACTCATATAATACACAGTGAGAGGCTCTGCTCCTTGTGTTTGTAACAATGTTCCAAATTTGGTGTTTAGGTGTAATACCTTTCCACCTAAGATACCTTGAAGGGAAAGAAAACTATCTTATTCATGCTTTTAATAAATCTTAAGTAAGGGCAGACTGTGTAATAAGTCATAGCTGACAAAAGCAAAAGTCATGTAGAAGGGAAAAAAGGTCCGGCATATAAAAGAAAAACCCAAAATGCTAAGGGACCACTCAAACAGCCATTTCTATATGTATCAGAAACTTCTACCCAAACAAAGTTTAAATGTGTGCACAAAATACTGAGAAGAACTGAGAACCATTTAGCAATGGACTCAGCATAAACCACCAGCCCCCATTTGGTTTAGGTGTGCAGTCTTAAAAATACCACCTCAGTGCCGAGGTGCCATCTGTTGCTTATCCATGCGTAAAGTCCAAAACATCAGACAACTCATTCAACCTCAAGAAAACTGTCACAATTCATGAACATGACAAAACTTGATTGAAGATATTGAGCATTCTGCAACCACAACCATTTTGTTTACATGTTGCCAGCCGATTTTCACTTTAGAGACTACTCTCCAAAGAATGTAAAAATCTTTCTAATAGCTCACTTTCAAGACTACTCTCTCAAGTCAAATTCAGATTCACGGCCAGGAGATGTTTTCTCTATGACTGGTTTCTCCAACAACCTGCCACCACCTTTCCCTGCGGCTGATAATGTCATAAAAACGCTTCGATTCGCGCAATGTTTATGAAGAGAATATTTATCCCCTGGTGTACATATTGTTATCATATATGAAAATCACAAGCCATACTAAAGCAATCTTGATAAGAAATGTGTATCATTGTTCAATACATTGATAACAGAATGCTGAATGAAAAAGGCCTAAACAACAACACTTGCATTACCTGCAAATAATTCAACAAGAAATGTAACTGTAGAAATAATGTATCTTTCTTGAAGTCCATAAAAAAGTGGAGAAACTAAGACAAACTTTGACCTTTTTTTAAGAGAGAGAGAGAGAAGAGAGAGGGGAAGGGGGGGGGGGGGAGGAAGAAACTAGTGGGTCCTTTTTCTAGATTCCGACCAACAGGAAAACTTGCTTTTTCATCCATGGGCAAACACTCTGCAAATACTCATAATAGAGAAGCATAACATATTGTTTCCGGCCAGTAAATGAGAAATGGCCAATCCTTGATGAAAAGATCAAATATGCTGGTGCAAGAAATGATTGCCAGAGGTATTAGAAAGCAGTCAAGTTGTATTCGTGAAGGAATTGGAAACAATTCAACAATGTCATAATTTATTGTGTGCATTATTCAGATACATAAAGCTTTCGGTTATGGACTAATGTAAAGTATGCCAAACAGCAGAATCTACTACAACCTGCACTTATACAAAAAAACTGTGAGTTTTTCATCTGTACTGGAAGCATAGGATGATTGCGTTTTTTCTTCAATATAAATTAGGATTAAAAAAGGACCTTATCAGAAAATAAGAGTAGATTGATTGCATAACTAAAATCCTAGCCATAAGAGAATCATGTGACACATTTCTGTCATATTTAACAGCATTGCCTTAAAAAATGGGTTTAATTTGAGCAATGTTTAAGCCATAAGGGAGAAAAGTTCTACACTCCAAACCATAGGGAGGAGTCAAAAAAAAGAAAAAAGACACCATATGAAGGCAATTAGAACTTGACCTAGAGTTGTAGGATACCCATTTACTTATTACATACAGAAATGGTACATCAGTATTCGAGAAGGTAGTTGTCAAAACTTTCACAAGTAACCACGAGGAACCTATTCTTTCGTATGACCAAAATCGAAGAAGCTTTCCAAACTAGCCGATTAGTCGGTGACCATAATCAGTAGGTTAAATAGTCAACCAGCTTCTACTTGATTGCAAAAAACCACCACACATATATCAAATAAGCATTCCAAACTAGCCAATTAGTCGGTGACCATATTCAGTAGAGTTAAATATTCAACCAGCTTTTACTTGATTGCAAAAACCACCACACAATGAAATAGATAGACTCTCTGTTCAATATGGATCCACTGGTCTTGGTCCCAACTTGCATGCCCATCAGTTCACCTTGGCCGCCACATGATCCCTGGAGATATAAAGCCTGTAACCTAGAGATGATATTTTAGAGTTCCTATCTTCCTTTTGACCCCCCCTATGCTAGAGATGATATTAAAAGAGAGTACATGCTCTCGTGAAAGTAACTAACAATTAGTTGTACATGAAGATTCGCAATTCAAGGATTCTTGCATTTGAGGCAAAGGTTCTTGCACGAACTTAGTTCCAGCATGATTAAGTTAAATAGATATTCATACGGCATGGCATGTAGACGTTGGCATATTTGATTGTTTTGATGAAAGTGACTATTGCATTGACCTAGTTGATTTCCTTTCCATTGAACCCTTTGGAGTTTCTGCACATTGTGATGGGGAAATCTTTTTTATTCCCGTCAATTCCAAGATTACTGCTCTCTAGTCTCTTCAAACAATTCATTAGTGCTTAAGGAACATATTTCACATATTCATTCCCCAGAAAAGGAATGATAATGTTTGCAACTTTGCCTACCTTCCGCCACAATTAATGTGTTAAACCCAACTGCTGGCAGTCTTCGTGGCTCCGTGTTTCTCTCTCTTCCCACCAAACACAGGAAAACACACTTATTTTGTCCGATGCAAGAATAATATTATTTGAACTTAAAAATTTGATCTAATTTACTGATATAATGATGTGGTTTAATAGGAATTATTGGATTAACACCAAGTTCCAATGTTTGATGGAACCTTACAGCCGATCGAAATGTTATAGTGAATTAGGTCCCAATAACATTGCTCAAAATATAAATATACATTCATCGTGGTATTTCTACGTGTGGCTTGGGTGTTCAAAATATTGAATTTTGCTCAAAACATTGAGAATGTGGTGTGTAGACGGTACATGGGCTAAAATTTTGACTCCACCCCTTAATACAATACGACCACGGCAACAAATTAAGAGGTTTGAATTCCTTTTAAATTACTTGTTTAATAAACAAATAGATTTGATATGACTTGATTATTAAATGAATCAATTATAGAAAAAGTCAATTAAAATAATTATATAAAACGATTTGTTTATATATTGATTGTAGACGATTCATATACGATACAAATCTGATATTATATGATTTGTTAAATACGAATTAATAAATGAATCAAGTACGAATGAAATATTTTTTGACATTAATATGTTACGACTCAATACTTTCATTAACTATTATACTTATATCCTATCCGATCCACTATCATGTTTGGATTATAAATTTGCCTCCAACCCATTCCAAATAAAAAAATATACTTT